GAGTTTTTATATATATATATATATAAATATATATATATATATATATATAAAATGTACATATACATACACACACACCCACAGTGCAATATATATAATTCCCAGATTTGTTCCAGAGGGGTGTTTTCACTCCCTCCTTTCCCGATTTTCCTTTCCTTTTTCACCCCTTTTTCTTCACCCACTAATTTTAACCATATACCACAGAACACCTTTTAACAGAACAAAAATGACTTTATTTTCTTTCAATTGATTTTTTTGACTGCATGTTTTTTTTTAGGCCTCAAGAACAACATCGTGCAAAGACAGACCCCCACTCCCACCCCTCAACAGCATCGAGGAGGAATTATTATCCCCCCTTTCCCAAACACACTGTTCTGCTCTCTGCCTCTGAAAAAGAGGAGAGGAACAATTCGAGAACAAGGACAGGGCCGGGAGAGAAGGAACAACAACAAAAAAATGCCCACACTTAGATAAACCCCCATCCTCTTCCTTTCCTTGAGAAAACGCTGCAGAGAAGAACCACCAAAACCAAAGAAGTCAGACAGTTAAAAGGCAGGTCATCCCACCTCAGCTTGCCTGGCCTCCTTGCACAGCGCAAAACTGTTTATTAGTCACGGCCACATACATGTAATTGGGAGTTACGCAACTGACCTTCTCAAACAAATTACGCAGCAACTTTAAAATTTCCATAGTAATAATAGAAAAAGGAAGAGACGGCCTAATTTTACGGTGTACACGCACCCACCAGTAAGGTATTTTTTCATATCACAGGAGCAAGAGTTCCAGGTCAAATGGCTTTCCCCAGAGAACAGAAAGCACCCAAACTGCATAGATCAGGGATCCCAAGTTGTTTTAGACAGCAAAGAGCAAAAGAGCAGCTGTCCAGTTAGAGAGTAGGACTTCTCCCAGACATGCCTGCTTTCAGACGAGGGATCCCTCAACATCTTGATATTCACTTAGAAAGCATTCACAGACTTGTCTCACTCATGGTAGGTAGTAGCACATTTCTAACGTTTCACTTTGTATTCTCTCCCATTTCTAGAACTGTAGTAAAAATAAAAATAAAAAAAAAAAAGATCCTGATGTCAACAGCAGCCAGCATCCACTATTGACTGCAACTAAGGAGCACCTCGCATCACATCCTGGCCATATTTAAAGACACTCCTCGGCAAGTTCCATTCTCCTAGTCAGTGTTCTGGACCTGTCCCTTGCCCTCGGCCCCTTAAAAGAAAAAGAAAGAAAGAAAAGTTAGACCTTCCTCAGTACGTAGAGGCATAACATCTGTGCTAAGGCTCAGCTCTTTTTACTTACCTTCTTGGTCCTTCCCCTTTAGTACTTTCTGAATGTCATTACCAAACCTCTTTTCCATTACTGACTTGAACAGCCTCAGGGCTGCACAGCTGTCGCTGTATTAGCCACATCTAATGCTTAGATGCAATTTTAAGTTTATATAACCTTTTTCATTCAGTAAAGTCACTGAAAAGTAACTATCGAGCACTTTACAAACCTTCCTCTTCCTCCTCCTCCTCTTCATCTTCCTCATCTTCATCAGAGCTGAAGGTGCCATCAGGCAAGCTGTAGATGCGGATCACTTGCTTGTTGGGGTCTTTGAGGATGAGGTACTTCCCCTCATCTAGTTTCATGCAGATGTCAATGACGCATCGCAGGATGCCCCAGGCATTCTCTATACTCAGGTTAATCTGGCTGGCAAACTCATTTGGCTTGAACTGCTGGGTGCCCAGGATCACGTGTCGGGCAGAGTCCTTCACGTGGTAACGAGATACGTACCTAGAGGGGCAAGAAAGCAAAGGAATACCGGGAGATTCAGATCATCCAACACAAAACATCAGCAAGAACCATCCTTACACTGCAACACTGAAACCTGACAGCATCTCCTGGCTAAAAGCTGTTTCTGTGTCTCAGTTGTGTACCTCATAATCCTTCTACTACTTCAAATCAGAATGGATGGTACAAAAGATAGAAAAATTATTCCTACAAAAAAAGAACTTTAAAAGAGCAGGATTAAGCAGGGAGTTTAGATTCAACAGATGTAACCAAGGCACTCCCATATCACAAAGTTAGAATCCAGAAGAACTGCAGAGTCACCAGAATTGAATTAGTGAACATTTCTCACTAGTCCCAAGTAGAAACGAGTAAATGTATATATATAAAACTTGTATATATAAAAACTTGCATCACAGTAACTATCTAGTAACATTTCGATAGAGGCAAAATAAACGGTGCAGCAGACATTTCATTTCTTTTTATATCTACCAATGACTCCTTGCTAAGGGACTCACATGTGCTTTGTGCTGCTGCTTTGCAAAGGAACCATAAAAAAAAACCTACTCTGAGACACGAGGGAAACTGCGTGCCTGGAAGAAACAAACACGCAGAGCAGTTCATTCAGCCCACCAATAATGAGACACGGACCCACTGATTCTAAGCCGACAGTTCAAAACGCGTGCAGGGGAGGTACTGCCATAGCTCAATTTCTCAGCAATGATGCACTAAGGATCTCAACCAAATTCCTGATAGGTAGCACAGCATTTGAATGTATTTCCCTTGTTGGCAATCTCAGCAAATAAGCCAAGAACTGCACAGGCTGCCTGCCTCCCACGAATGAGGTCTCTCAATGGCTGCGCATCAATCCCATGTCAAGGAGAAGCAGCTCACACGGGCTAGGGTCCCTGCTGGTCCTCTCAGCACAGGCTCTTTCTGCACACCTCAAACGTGAGGGAATTTTACAATTGCTCACATTCTACGCATAAACTAATTCGACAAATCCTGTGTTTAAAACAATGGAAAATGCACCTGAAAGATGTTTGTTGTGAAAATCCTGTCTTACCCGAGTTTAAGATATTCTGATCCAGCCAGCAGCGCACAACATGTCCAACGAGCTAATTTGTAGCTGTTGTTTTTCAGCTCTGTGGCAATTACAGCTCCTCTCTGAGAATCAAGCTTCTGGCGCCAGTCCACTCCATTGCAAAACTGAGAGGGGAATCAAGACCAAGGTCACCCTAACAAGTTGGAATCAGTCATTTCTTCAGCCACCTTGGCATTATGCAGAAGTTCTTTTGTCCGCCTTATGACAGTATAACAAAGGAATGCAAACAGGCATTTAAATCCCTTGCAAAGCAGAAAGGGAGAAATGAGGACAGTAGGTATTGGTCAACATAAGCAGAACTGGTTAGGAAGGGAAGAGTTGAGGGAAGCATTTGAACAGACTTGCCACTGCACAAAACACAGGAACAGCAGAGGGTTCCAGCTACCTTGTATTTGGAGGAGACTCCCAGGCACTGCTTGCCCTCCAAAGTTACATTTGATGGAACATAATAACCAAGGGGACCCTATCGGATGTCTGTCTCATCTTGCCCGCTATACCTGGCATGTCAGGCAGCAGTGAAGCAGTTAGAGCTAGCTTTGGGACCTCGCTCTTTCTCACCCGGGAATCCCACTCGTTCAGCGTTTTGATGTTGATGAACGACACTTCTCCATTAGCTCCCGTCATCACTCCATCATGTTCGCAGCGCACAATGAGATCTATATCATCCCCCAGCTTCCACCTTCGGTATCTGCAAACAAGCACTCCAGGGAGTTATTCCTGACCCTCGCTCTTTTGGATCTATGGAGGTACTCGGCAAATCCTTTCACCCTCCATATGGACACTGTGAGGAGGTCCAGACATCTGTCTCACAGAAAAGCTAGAGTACAACTACTGATAAGCTTTGCCTGCAAATCACACTGATACTGTGCACCCTTGCCAAACCCAGGCACCAGAGACAGCAGTGTACCTGTACGCAACAGAGGCTACTTCATTCTTATCCATGTCATCCTCCACAAAGGGGTTTGGGTTGGGAAACTTGTATTTTTCCTTTCCCTGTAGAAGGAAAAAAATAAAAAATAAAAAATAAAATAAAATTAAGGAACCTTATCTCCCACCTCTTTCCAGACTCACACAATACCAGTGTGAAGCATCTTCATCCTATCAA